GCTGCACTCCCCCAGTGCTTTGCCTCAGTGTGGCGGGATCAGATCGAGTGCAATTCCCACACTGTAAGACTGCAATCCTTACAGAAGCACACTGCCACAGCTTTCTACCAGGGAATGGCTGAGTTTGAACCCCTGACCTTGGGGGGTCAGATGCGCCACAAGGGCTCTTTTAGAGACATGCATAATAATAAACTGTAGCAAATACTATCCAATTTTCATGCCACTGGAGTTAGCAAAAGCAGGCCAAATTAATTTTTATCTTTCCATTCCTAATTGGAAAAGAAGGAAAGATAAGTCTGGAACCAAATCAACTCAAAGACACTCTATCTCCAGGTTGAAGCCACAGTCGTGGGGCTTCCTCATTTTCATGCCCAAACTGCACTGGGTGGGGGGGGACTTCCTTTGGGTGGGGAGGCAGTAGGCATGCTTAAGATCTGCTAGGGGCAAAACAAGTTCCTCTGGGTGTGGCATTTAGAAAACGTTTACCACCCACTCACCCCACAGACTGCAGAGGACACTGAGAGCTGGGTAAACCTGGAGTCCTGGAGGCAGACCTGTGCTGAAGCCCCCAGAAGTCAAGCAGAAGCCAGGCCTTTACAGTTTGGAAGAAGGCGACCTGGGGTTCCCCATTTTCATGGATTGAATTGTTCCCACCAAAAACATGTGTTGTAAATCCTGATTCCTAAACTTGTGTAGGAAGGTGGTGGTGCTGTGATTAGGCAATTGGCTGTTAACCAAAAGGTTAGTGGTTTGAACCCACCCACTGCTTCTCAGGAGAAAGATGTGGCAGGATCTTCTACCCATGAAGATTGCAGCCTTGGAAATTCTAGGGGAACAGTTCTACCTGGTCCTGTCTGGTTACTATGAGTCAAAAAGTAGCAAAACGTGTACTTGTGGATGTACTCCCACCAATCGAGTCTGGCCTGAGACCACACACACAAATACAAGTTCATGTAAAGCAAATGGTTCAGGCTTTGTGGGTAGATGGCTCTAGAAGAACTGCTCAGTTATGCCATTATATTGCAGCGCTCACTCTCACTGCCGTTGCATGAGTGCTAGCTCATAGCGACCTCCTGTGGGTTTCCAAGATTGTAACTAGTTATGAGAGTAGAAAGCCCAGTCTTTCTTCCTAGGAGCTGCTGGTGGTTTGGAACTGCCGCTCATGTGGATTGCAGCCCAACTTGTAACCACGATGCCACCAGGGCGCCTATTCTGCAAAGCAGTCTTACACAGTTCATACATGAATCCGTATGACCACGTTCCAATAAAAGTTTACTTATAAACACTGGCATTTGAATTTTATTTAACATTCATGTGTCATGCAATAGTGCATTCCACAGATTTTTTAAACCACTTAAAAATACAAAAATTCTTAGTTCAAAGGCTGTACAGAAACGGGAAGTTTGGGACTAGTGGCTAGAGTTTGCCTACCCTGTTTTAATGTGGTTGGAGAGGAGAGAGTGTTGTCACCAGATGGCATCCATTTCAGCTCTACAGGAGTCTCAGTGCCTGGCCTTAAGGAGGTGGGGGGCAATAGACTCAGGGCAGTGAGTAGAGAGAAGTCCAGGCTGCAGTAGGGAACTGATCATCTCCCTTATGTCCCTAGATGTGGATGAGTGCACTTCCGGACAACACCGATGCCACAAGTCCACCTACTGCCTTAACAAGAGGGGCAGCTACGAATGCCACTGTCTGCAGGGCTGGGTGGCCAAGGCTGGACATGGGAATGGTCTAATAACTACCATCTGTGAAGGTATATGGCCCTTACACACATGTACACACACGTACATTCATGTGCATGCACACATATACACATACATGAGTGTGCGCATATATATGCACTCACACAAGTTCTTACGGAACATGTACACACACATGCCAGTTTTCCTCAGTGGTCACCTACTTTTTTCTTCTACAGAGAGCCCCTTTCCCTCATGGGCACCACCTTCTGAGATTAAGAGTCAGGTGAGTAATACCTGGGCAAGGCCAGAAAGCATGAGGACCCTCCCCAACGCCATGTCAGTGTCTCTCCCCTCACCAAGCTTCCCCATCTCAGACTTGCCCCTTTATCTTCTCCCCCCAGAGTCTCTCCCACTTCTTTGGCAAAGTCCAGAAATTATCCCGAGACTTCACGCCAGCCCTAGTTCAGAACACTATCCAGGTAAAGTCATCGCCACGAGAAAGGCAAGATTTGAGAATCCCATAGAGACGTGGGTCCCCTTGGTCTCCGTAGAGACGACTCCCCATGTGGTGGGTACTGCAACTGGCCTCTCATGGTGGAGACGTGCAGACATTTAGAAACACTCTTAGACCATCAGGTGCATGGATGGATTCATGGTTTTCCTCTGTGGGTTCTAGATTGGTCTTAAGTCATCCATGGCATTCCTGATCCAAGTTGACCTCTGAGGAAAACTGTCATTGATATCCCAGCATATTAGATGGTCTTAAGGACATAGTTCTCTGGGATGGAGCAGTCATGGCATTTGGATTGCCACTCTGACCCATAACCCACTAGCTCTGTGCGCTGTCCCCCAGGACCTCATACAAGGGCTGGATGAGCTTCTGGAGGCTCCTGGGGACTTGGAGAACCTGACCCGCCCAGAGAAGCACTGTGTGGCCACTGAGCTGCTTAGTGGCCTAGAGAATGTCTTGAGAGGCTTGAGCAAGATCCTGCCCACCAAGTCATTGACCTTGAATGCTCCTGGAGGCACAGGTGGGTCTCTGGATTAGTTTCCCTTTGTGAAATCTTTGAAACAGAGTTACAAATGCCCTTGGAGGTAGACCTCGCCCATTAGCACTTTCTTCTGCTGCTTGTTTTTTCCTCTTCTTTTTGAGATCACACAATGTCAGTAAAATGCTTTCTGTGTCAGTAGAACCTTTGGAGATGATTTGATTTTCAAATTTTAAAAATAATCAACAGTATTACACCCGTTAAGTAGTTAGTCCAATACAGAAAATATATGTGGTTGACCAGCATAGAGAAAAACCTATTCCTAGTTTCGAAAGCAATGTCTTACTTCTGCCATCCCACATCCCACTGCCGTCATTGCAGAACTGTCTCTGAAGGTACAGGAGCGAGGAGTCGGGAATGTTACCCTGAGCCAGGATAACACGAGGATGCTGCTGGACTGGGACACAGTACAGGAACCTAGTGACTCCGGTAATGCTGGGGAGGGGAGGGGAGGGACCCTGAGACCTGTTGATGGAACAGACGGAGAACCAGAGATGTGATACACAAAGAAGTCAAGATTCAAGGGGAGTGTGGAGTGGATGGGAGCCAAAGGAGAAGAGGATTTGATAAGGAAGTCCTTGGAGGAAGAGGTCCTGATTAGGACCCCAGGAAGTCAGCCTTAGTCTTTGCTTCCAGGGCCTTCTGTGGTGGGCCTGGTCTCCACTCCCGGAATGGGCAAGTTAATGGCTGGGGCGGCTCTGCAAGAGACACACAAGGGCTTGCTGTGGGGCGTCTCTCCTGGCTTGCTCTCAGACATCATCTCTGCCTTCCTGAGCAAGAATGGCACCCATAGCCTCAGCTCCCCAGTCACCTTCACATTCTCCCACCATGTGAGTCTTGGTGGGACAGGGAGGGAGGACAAAAGGAAGAGGTGTGGAGGGGACGTGGGCACCATCTGGCTTGTTCGATTCAGTCATGGGACTCAGGAATACCCCTAGGGCTGCGTCACCTTCAAACAATAGCAACTCTGCCCAAGTCAGCTTTGGGCCACCACCTATGAATACCAGGCTTGCCAGCTCACATCCATGCCCTGCTCCCACAGCCAGTGACCCCTGGCCTGGGGCAAGAGGTCGTCTGTGCCTTCTTGGAACATGAAAAAGGCAAATGTGGTCACTGGGCCACCACAGGCTGCAGGACGGTGATCACCAGGGATGACAGCACCACCTGCAGCTGCACCCACCTCAGCAGCTTTGCCGTCCTCATGGCCCACTATGACACGCAGGTGAGACGATGGAATCGGGGATGCTTGGAGCTACGGGGCCCAGAAAGAAAGAGCTGTGGATGGGTAAGACATGGACAGCGGCCACCCAAATCAGAACAAAAAGGGCTATTTGTTCACAGCTTGACAGTCAGCAAGGTCGTCAGCCACCGCCCTTGTATTTAGCAGACACTCAAAGGCAAGGCAGGAGAGGGGGAAACAGTGGCAAGAAGGGAAGGCTTCAGATGTGCCCTGATTGGAAGCTGAGGACCTGAGAGAAAAGTAGAGGTGGGATAATGCGACGTCAGGCATCTTCTGTGTTGGGTGAAGGAAACAGTTCATAGTTGGTGTTCTCCAACTGGACCTATGTTGGAAAGAGTGACACATAATTAAGGAAGCTGTCAGTTGCAAACCTGGTTGCAAGGATTGTTGTTTGGCTTCCTGGGCTTGAAGCAACAAAAGAACAGTTTAACTTCCTGGACTTGTTGAAGGATGCATGTGGGTCAGAGTTCTGATGTTATCTATGGTGTCGCCATGTGCGTATGTTCAGTTAGTGTCTCATGACAGAGGTCTGAAGGATCAGGGAGTCAAGGAGAGTAGGAGGATCAGGTGACATAGCACTGTCTTTGAATCACTAGGAATTAAGATTCACGCAAGTGCTTTCAGGTAATGAAAATCCACCTAGAAATAAAGTTTAAACGGTTTTAACTACATGGGTAGACCTCCTAGGAACCCGGAGACACTTGAACACCACTTCAAGATGTTCCCTCCCATCCATTTTCTGCAGAACACTCTGTGCAAGCTAGGCATTTAGTTTTGCTACAAACAAGATACTCACATGTCTTATTACTTATCATCGTCATTCATACTGATTATAATAAGGATCCCTGGTGATGATCCCAATTAGGAGTTGAGCTGTTATCTGAAAGGTTGGTGGTTCAAATTCACCAGTGGGGAAGGATTAAATTGAAGACCTCCCTCCCAATCAAATTTTCCAGTGAAAAGTTTCATTCTGAAGAGTAAAAAGAAGGAAAAAAAATTCTTCAGAGTCATTCTAAAGATAGTTGAAACATAAAGCGCCAGTTAAAATATAGTTTTGTGCGTCCTTTCAACTTATATGGCTAGTGCACATTTAACTTCATATTACCAAACTCTTTTCCCAAAGGTTATCTTTCACATGCTCACCAGCAGTATATGCGAGTGCCATACTTTGAACCTGTTCTGTTCTAATCGGCATATTTTGAAAAGGCAATTTTACCCACAGTAGGAGCGTATGACCATGAACACCTCTTTGCAGGAGGAGAACCCTGTGCTGACTGTGATCACCTACGTGGGGCTGGGCCTCTCCCTGCTGTGCCTCCTCCTGGCAGCCCTCACCTTCCTCCTGTGCAAAGATATCCAGAACACCAGCACCTCCATCCACCTGCAGCTCTCACTCTGCCTGTTCCTGGCCCACCTCCTCTTCCTCATTGGGATCGACCGAACTGAGCCCAAGGTATGGCAGTGCCCCTAAGATCTCTCTGGGTTCAAGGCTCCATGCTGTACTTGACCCCTTAGTCTATTGGCCTTGAGTCCCAGAAAGGTTAGAGGGGTAAGTAGTCCTCACTCAACTAGAAAAATCAACTTCTTCTCCACATACACCAGAATTCTGCCCACTGGTAGGCACATGAGAAGCTGCAGGGACACCCCAAACCCTGGCACCTACTCTGGGTGACTCTCCTGCCTCTCCTAGATGCTGTGCTCCATCATCGCGGGTGCCTTACACTACCTCTACCTGGCCGCCTTCACCTGGATGTTTCTGGAAGGCCTGAACCTCTTCCTCACTGCCAGAAACCTGACAGTGGTCAACTACTCCAGTATAAGCAGATTCATGAGGAAGCTCATGTTCCCTGTCGGTTATGGAGTCCCAGCCGTGATTGTGGCCATTTCTGCAGCAGCCAGACCTCAACTTTATGGAACATCTGCTCGGTAAATGCAAAGCCCACCTGGGTTTATTCTTTCCAGCTCAACCATAGCCACCACCAGAATCAATGTATCATTTTCATTTCACCAGAGCATATAGGCAAAAACTAAATAGCCACTCCACAGGCATCAATGGTGACTACATTTAAATATTTTAGATTTAATCATTCTAAGCATAAATTATATCAAATATTTATGATTACACACATATCCTCCTAGCCATATGTTATGTTCCTAATTCTATACTAATATTATGTTGGGCCCCTAAGTGAAGCAAATGGTTTGTGCTCAACTGTCAGCATCAAGATTGATGATTGAAACCCAGTCATCTGTCTACACAGGTGCCTCTAGAGGACGTCACACCATCTACCTTTCAGTGAGCTGTTGAATGCTTAACCGTTTGTGCCACCCAGGAACTATTATCTAATTGTCAGCCTTCCCTACCTGGCTGTGTTAGGCTGGGTTGCCTAAAGAAACAAATCCAGGGGCACTCCCATATGTATATGAGCTTTGTATCCAGAAGTAATTTTATATCACGAAAGCATCCCAGCCCAATCTAACTTAAGTCTATGAGCCCTCTTCAGACTCATGTAGCTGTGGGCCAATGATGCAGAAAAGCGAATTGGGATGCAGGCAGATCGCAGGTGCAGAGTCAAATGGATCCGAGGTCAATGGAAACATGGCAGGGTATCAACAGTTCTCCGGGTCAGTGGCCCACATGGGGCTGCCTCTGGAGGCAGAGAGTCCCAGCAAGCAGGAAGTGAGGAGCAGAGAGAGAGAAGGTCCCAGTTTCTCCCTTATAAAAAAAGTTCATACCCCTAAAGAAGCATCATCAGGCTGAAACCTGATTGATAGGTTAGAACCCACCCCTACACTTTCATACAAACTCAAATGTACCTAAAATCTAACTGCCACATTATCTGACATCTACTTGAGCATAGAGACCAGTTTATCTTAAACACAATTGGGTCTTCCAAGCAAGCACACTGTGGTGGCTTGTCTGATGGTGTGACATTAAAAGGTATGCCACTAGTATTTTAAATACTAGAAGGATCACCCACAGGAAACAGGGCTTCAGAGAGCTTCAGGACTAAAGGCAGAATAGGAAGAAGGAATGGGTGGTCTACTTCCGAGGGTTTCACCCCTGAAACATCATGAAGAGCAGTGGAACATGGTCTCATCTAATGCCAGAAGATAAGCACATTAGATTGGTAGGCACTCAGAATAGGAACAGGATTGATTGACACAATAGCTACAACACAGGCTCAAACATAATGATTTTGAGAACCAGGCAGTATTCCAACTGCTGTACATATGGTCACTATGAGTGGAAACCAATTTAATGACAGCTAACAACAAAGCCAAACACAGATCCTGGACACAGGAGACACTTAGCACTTGCCAATGAATCAGCATAGCCAAATTTATTTCATTCTTTATCCACACGGGTCAATGAATTCTTGAATCTCTGCCCATCTCCTTCTCAGCTGCTGGCTTCACACAGACAAAGGATTTCTATGGACCTTCCTTGGACCGGTCTGTGCCATCGTCTCTGTGAGTGATGACGTTCATACTGCCCAGCTAAGGGTCGTTCCAAAGATAAGTGTATAGAGGCAGTTATAAATACAGTGGTAAATCCTTCCATTTTTCTTAAGACTGGAAAGTAGGGATTTCTTAGGGATTTCCTGGATGAGAGACTTCTCAGGCAACTGAAAACGAGGAAACTAGGGTGACTTGGTCATTCAAGCTACTGCACAATTATTTCCTTCAGTTACTGTGTGTTGGGTTTAGATTCCTACGACTGCTGCATCATATAAGATTTTCCTATATTCTGGTACTGAATGAGCTACCAGAGAGATCTAGCAGGGGTGTCATTTACTTGATATCTATTGTGGGGTTTCTACAGGTAAATTTGGTTTTCTTCCTGATGACCATCTGGATTGTGGGAAACAAACTCACCTCCCTCAACAAGGATGTCTCCACCCTCCAGAACACACGGTAAGACGGAGCAGAGGGTGTACACCCCAGACATGTGTTCCAGGGAGCAAGGGCATGCACCTCTAAGCTACTGATACCCATTCTCAGCGCTTCGGAAAACCCCAGAGGAGAGAGATGTGGAGCCCTGTCTTTGACTGCTTATACTTCAGTGGTTTGCCACTGACACCCAAGCCAAAAACATTTATCCATTCATAAGCCCAGGACATGACTCTTAAAGCTAGGGAGACATGACTGTTCTGATTAGCAGGAACAATTGTGTGGTACAATGACAGAGATTTAAAGAACATTCATATCTTTATAAAGCTCATAAAAATGCATAACTGTGCCCAGAATTCAGCATGCCCTTTATGCCTTCACCTCCAACCAGGTCCATGGTCTTCCCTCTGCCCACCCACTCTTCCACTAATGAAATCAAGTCCACTAGCCTTGCAGCACATCCTCCAGAAAGAGTTGGCTGCCCTATGCTTCCTTCAACTTTCCTCTGAATTAATGGGTTCTATTGGAAAAGACCACCACTTGACTGTCAGTTTGTTGTACTGTGGTAGCTTGTGAGTTGCTATCACTTATACAGAATCACTCCTTTCGTGCTGGATGCTATTTACACAAACAATGGGAGTTGGTTGTCTGCGAAATTTTATAATAATGTTCACTGTCTGTCACAGGTTTGCCGGAATAAGATATATCTTGACATAGCATATAGGACACTGATGTAGTAAGTTTTCCACCTACCTACAGTTTAATAATCTTGGTATAATTATTTTCTGCTCCTTCGAACACCAGGCATTTTCAGTCCTAAGTCCTCAGGTTACCAGTTTTTTTCACTCGACTGTAGACTTTAAGTAAAGAGAGATCTTACCTTTTCATGCTTGTGGCACAGAGCCAAATGAGATTTTGAAAAATAATCCATCTGCATAGGGATTCAGATAACCCAATCTGTATCAGAGTACAACTGTCATTCATATGGTTTCTAGCGACTCATTTTTCAGAAGACCAAAGGCCTTTATTCTGAGGAACCTTGAGATTAACTCAAATTTCCGTTGGTAGCATGTTAACTGTTTGCACCACACAGGGATTCCTGGGACATGGTACGTCCTCAGTAATGTCAGCTGACTAAATTTAGTGGGTCCATGAAAAACCTTAATTCTTTGGAAACCCATATTATGAAGTTTCATTATCCCACTAAATCCACAGCAAAAGGCCATTATGGAACCAAGGGGACTTCCCTTTAGGGAAATCATTAACAATGAAGGCCAAGACTGATCACAACTCAGTCTAACTCATCACCAAAGAAGGATGGCTAGGGCATCCCTGGGGTAAACATAAAAGTGGCATTGATTTGGATGCTGTCGGAGCCTCACGGGCATTCTTTCTCATCCTTGCCAGGATGCTGACATTTAAAGCAATGTCTCAGCTCTTCATCCTGGGATGCACCTGGTGTCTGGGCATCCTCCAGGTGGGCCCAGCTGCCCAGGTCATGGCCTACCTCTTCACCATCCTCAACAGCCTACAGGGTGTCTTCATCTTCCTGGTCTACTGCCTCCTCAGGCAGCAGGTACTACTGTACTACTCCTACGTTTAGCTATTCTCGTTTTCAACCTATCAGTGGGTGAGCTGTCCCTGCGCATGCTTTGTCACTGCAGGTCCGGGAGCAATACAGGAAATGGTTCCGAGGGGTCAGAAAATTGAGAGCAGAATCTGAGATGTACACTCTCTCCAGCAGAGTCCTGTCTGATGCCTCCAAGCCTAACCTGGTAGGATCTTCACAGAGCACTTTACTAAGTGCTCCCCTTGAGCAGCATGTGCCTGTCACACTGGGAAACCCGAATCTACCACATATGAGACTCCACTGCTGTTCCCACTCATTGTCTCACTCAAAGGAATTTCTAATTCACAAACATCTTCTTCCACTTTCACTCAGACACGACTGTGCTTACTGAACCCTGACACGTGATCATGCTTTCATCATTGCATGTATTGGCATCCCCTTGGACCCCAAGTGGTGCTTATGTGTTTTAGTTTTATTGGGTCAAAAGATGCAAAACACTTATAAGTGTACAACGATGTCATATTAAACTAAATACTCAGGGACCAGGAATCTGAAGTGGTGATGCACAAACCCTCAGAGTCACGGCACCACCCTTTATGTCACAGTCACTCCGTGCCATCCCCTAACTGACGAGCAAAATATGCAGTGTATATATAGTCATAAATGGAAAGAAAAGTATCACTGTGAGACTTTCTTTTAAAATCTACAGTAGTTCCTGGTACTTTCAGCTGCCATGTGTACTGCAAAACCAGAGAGGAGCGATAGAGAGAGCAGAAGATATCACATTTGTATATTCAGATTTACAAAGCCTTTCTTCACACTTTTGCTCACAGGCACATCACATAAGCATTTGGAGATGAGAGTTATCCCTAAATATTCCTATTTGGAAGGAAAGTAAGGCTCATGGGAGTCAATTGTGCAGTTTGCTCATTCTCACGAGCAGCTTCAGTTAGTCCTGTCATACAGTTCTGGATCCATTTGCTAGTTCATCGACTACACAGTGCTCCTCCCAACATTCTTCATTCATCCTTCTAGTTCCTCTCTCCCAGAAAGTGTTCTTACCAACTTTTCACAGAAAAAAAACAAGTCAATAAGGTGACACGACATTGACCATGGACTCTTAGTCACACCAACTAACACAGGCAATGACACCAAATGTAGGAAGACCACAGGCCAAAGACCACAGGTGGAAAGTCTTGTGGATCCAGTGGGGTGTAAACATCTCAGCACTGACATGGGTCTCCACATGGCTCCTCCAACTCTAGGGCTCTGGCTGCCATCAGCATAGCTCCATGTGACTTGTCAATAGAGAGTCTCTCAGGGAGTGAGCCTGTGTCCTGCCTCCAGCAAGTGATTTAGTGCCTCCAAATGAGATCATCAAGCTAGAACCTGAATGGCAGGTTAAACTCCACCCCTGCACTCATAAGTCTCAAATTAACAACAGATTATGTAACTACCACAGATGGAGAAACTTAAACTTTTTCCAACTTCTGCAAATTCAGATTGATCAATCATGCAATCAAGGTGCATTAATAATTACCCAGTGATAGCAATGCCACATGCACCACATGTGGTTTAAATGATGCAGGAGATCACATGATAGGTTTTTGCAAAACTGATAACTTAGTCATCGCAAACACATTTTTCATCAACATAAATGATAACTATACAGGTGGACCTTGCCAGACTAAATACACAGGGATCAAATCTGTACATCTGTACATAGAAAGAGACTATGGAGAACTCAATATCACCAATCAGAACAAGTCCAGGAGCCAACTGTGAAACAAACTATCAAATGCCCATATGCAAGTTCAAGTTGAAGCTGAAGAAAATTTTTTAAAGTTCACAAAAGTCAAAGCGTGACTTTGACTATGTCCCACCTGAATTTAGAGAAAATCTCAACAACAAAAAAGTAGATGCACTGAACACTAATGACAGAAGACCAGATGAGTTGTGCGATGTCATCAAGGACATGATCTGTACACATGAAGAAAGCAAATTGTCGTTTAAAAGGCAGGAAAGAGAGAAAAGATAAAAGTGGATGTCAGAAGAGACTCTGAAATTTGCTCTTGAACACAGGGTAGCTGAACAAACAAAAGAAATGAAATTTAAAAGTTGAACAGAAGATTTCAAGGGTGGCTCAAGATGGTGAAGTGAAGTATTATAATGAAGTGTATGCAAAGACTGGAAGCTAGAGAACTAAAACACACCTGGCATTGAGCAAAATATTGAACATCACAGAATGCATCAAAAGAAAGTGAAATCAATACACAGAGTCACCACACACAAAAGAATTGGTTGACACTCAACCATTTCAGGAGGTCAGATGCAATCAAGAACTGATGGTATTGAAAGAGGAGGTCCAAGCTGCATTGAAAGTACTGACAAAAGACAAGGTTCCAGGAATTGATGGAATATGAATTCAGATGTCTCAACCAAATAAACATATAGCTGGAAGTTTTCACATGTCTATGGTAGGAAATTTAGAAGATAGCTACCTGACCAACTAACTGGAAGAGATCTATATTTATGTCCATCCCAAAGAAAGGTGATCCAACAGAATGCAGAATTATTGAACAATATCATTTGTATCATAAAGAAAAGTTCATTTGTTTTTGTTTTTTTAACTTTTGATTGTGAGCAGCCAGCTAGGGTGTAGACATTGGTATGTCCCCATCCAGAGGGAAAAAGAGTGATGAGAATTGAAAGACACATGGAAACAATTAGTTTAATGGGCTAACGAACCATGTAAACATCAGTATCCACAAT